CAACTTGCATCAAGTCTGTTGATGACAACTTGTATCAAGTCTGTTGACGACAACTTGCATCAAGTTTGTTGATGACAACTTGCATCAAGTCTGTTCGTGACAACTTGCATCAAGTCTGTTCGTGACAACTTGCATCAAGTCTGTTGATGACAACTTGCATCAAGTCTGTTGATGACAACTCGCATCAAGTCTGTTCGTGACAACTTGCATCAAGTCTGTTCGTGACAACTTGCATCAAGTCTGTTCGTGACAACTTGCATCAAGTCTGTTGATGACAACTTGCATCAAGTCTGTTGATGACAACTTGCATCAAGTCTGTTGATGACAACTTGCATCAAGTCTGTTGATGACAACTTGCATCAAGTCTGTTCGTGACAACTTGCATCAAGTCTGTTGATGACAACTCGCATCAAGTCTGTTGATGACAACTTGCATCAAGTCTGTTCGTGACAACTTGCATCAAGTCTGTTCGTGACAACTTGCATCAAGTCTGTTGATGACAACTTGCATCAAGTTTGTTGATGACAACTTGCATCAAGTCTGTTCGTGACAACTTGCATCAAGTCTGTTCGTGACAACTTGCATCAAGTCTGTTGATGACAACTTGCATCAAGTTTGTTGATGACAACTTGCATCAAGTCTGTTCGTGACAACTTGCATCAAGTCTGTTGATGACAACTTGCATCAAGTTTGTTGATGACAACTTGCATCAAGTCTGTTCGTGACAACTTGCATCAAGTCTGTTCGTGACAACTTGCATCAAGTCTGTTCGTGACAACTTGCATCAAGTCTGTTGATGACAACTTGCATCAAGTTTGTTGATGACAACTTGCATCAAGTCTGTTCGTGACAACTTGCATCAAGTTTGTTGATGACAACTTGCATCAAGTCTGTTCGTGACAACTTGCATCAAGTTTGTTGATGACAACTTGCATCAAGTCTGTTCGTGACAACTTGCATCAAGTCTGTTGATGACAACTTGCATCAAGTTTGTTGATGACAACTTGCATCAAGTTTGTTGATGACAACTTGCATCAAGTTTGTTGATGACAACTTGCATCAAGTCTGTTCGTGACAACAACTTGCATCAAGTCTGTTCGTGACAACTTGCATCAAGTCTGTTGATGACAACTTTCAACAAGTCTGTTGACAACTTGGAACAGACTTGTTGTCAACAAGCTGTCTCAAGCCATGCGAACGCATCCTGATATCGGCTTGTTGATAACAAGTCTGTTCCAAGTTGTCAACAGACTTGTTGCAACTTGCGCGTTTCTGGCTGTGTGGAGGGGCGTCCAGGCGTCCTGGGACGCCCATAGAACAAAAACTGGACGCCTTTGGATGCCCAAATTCTGGGAAAAAGGGAAATTATTAATATATATCTGAAACGAAATAGCTTCAATTCTCATTATTATTAGTATACATTTGATATTTTGATCAATTCGATGATGTATCTGGCTGAATGCAAATGCCGTAGTTAAGCATAGCGGCACAAACTCACAAAGCCAAGTGTGTTTGATAAATTTCGAACGAGCTTGGAACGGATACTGATATGAAGTAACGTATGTAAAGGTTTTCCAGAGGAACGTTTTCGCGACCCCCCCCCCCTCCCATACTGTACTGTAGATGTATCGTTGTACCAAAATTGGACGCCCTCTTTTAGGACCCTGGCTAAAAGCCTGCCCCAAAATGGCGGAAAAATCGGCCGTGAGAAGTACTACTTCTATATACTTTGAAACAAGTATACTACCTTTATCTACTTTGATTTTAATGTCGTGCATGCAATGTTTTAGGTAAGCTAGTATGTTATTTGGATTTTGAGAACCAGGCTGAGACTGAGAAATCGATTAAAGATAAGTCTCCCAGTGGAAACAACAATGGATATCGCGAGAGTGGTCTCCTATTGGTCAACTTCAAAGGCTGTGGTAATGCCGCTTATATGCACGCTGGGGATATCTTATTCCATGGCGATACTTTTCAGGACAAGCCTTACTCAGGTAACGAGATTCCGTTTCTATCGTAACAAAACAAAATTATTAATTAGCCATTCCGAAGTTGATGAGTGGACTGGAGACGAGTGTTAAAAAGTGCCCAAATTAAAATATGAACCAAATCACTACAAAGACCACCTCAAAATTAGTAAGTATACAGAGTTTGAAGACGTTTACATGAATACCCTTCGAATAATAAGCTTTCGAAAATTGTGAAATTACTGATTAAAAGACTGTTTTTTGGACGCGCGTACATTTCATAGTAAATATCGCAATTTTCGAAAGCTTAAGGTATAGTAACTAATTTTGAGGTGGTCTTTTTAGTGATTTGGTTCATTTCTTAATTTGGGCACTTTTTAACACTCGTCCCCAGTCCTCTCATCCACTTCGGAATGGCTAATTGTTAAAAAAAAGTGACGTTTCAATTAATATACAGGGTGTCCCAAAAAACCCAAAACTATTGAAATAACGTATTGTTAGAATTTGAATGCCTCAGCACTCTACTTAACCACAAGTGCATAATAGTTTGACATGCGTAAATTTTATGCCTAAAGAAACTGTTTAAGAAGCTGCTTCAAATTCCCAAGAGCAGAAAATCGGCGCTTTACAAAGATATTTTAATTTCTTAATAAGTCAATATTTATAATATATTTACGTATCTTTGCGTTCAGCTTAATGCTAGGGCATTCAAATTCTAACAATACGTTATTTCAATAGTTTTGGGTTTTTTTGGCCGGGACAGATAGACCTTTCCCTTTATGAGTGAAATTTTGATCTAGACAAGTCTGGACAAAAATTTCATCACAGCTTGAGAGAGCATCACAAAATTAGTAATATTCCGAAGTTTCGTTGCGAAATGTTGTAAAACTGCGGATAATATAGCCTGCGAAGTTTGCCGTTTTTCAGTAATTTTGCATTACATAATCAGATGATCAAACTGATGCAAAATGTTAGATTGTAATGCAAAATGACTGAAAAACGGCAAACTTCGCAAGACTTTATTATCCACATTTTACAACATTTCGCAACGAAACTTCGGAATATTACTAATTTTATGATGCTCTTTCAAGCTGTGATAAAATTTTTGTCCAGACTTGTCTAGATCACAATTTCACTCATAAGGAGAAAGGTCTATTCGGATCCAAATGAAGCGTTCTGTGAAAATTTGATGGAAATTGGATAAAACTTTGTTGAGTGATGGCAGATCTCCTGAAACGCGTGCCTAGGGTATCTTGTAATTTGTGCGCGCACTCTCTAATCCTGTTCTCTATTTAGGTATTACAGTTGCGGCGTGGGTACGACTTTTGGAGCTTCCTGGGAGCCACTCTATCTTTGATACAATTGGCAGTAGCCATGAATGTGGACAATACCATTTTGAAATTAATGATGGTAATATTCGCTGGTTCCATCGTAACGAGACTCAACAGACTGTCTTTAGTGTTGAGGCGACTGGAGGTCTTGTGAAACAAGGTGAGCGGATTTATTATCTCCGCGGCACGGGTTAGACAATTTACGTACTTACGTGTACCGGAGGTACGAAATCTCGTACTCTGAGCACTGCCATCCTCTAAGAATTCTAAGAATTTGTCAGTGAGTGGGAGGGGGTGGGGGAGGGGGCATCTACAAAAAGAGAACATCCTATACTGAGTGTAAAGAGATTACAGATGGTTATTGGTGAGAAAACGTTTTCTGAGACTTTGAGATTGACATTTATGGCAGACTGCTGGCTACAAACGGAAACGTTTAATTTTAGCGGCCGAAAACATGTAGGAATTACTTTCAAATACAATTTGAAGTTTGCTGTTTGCGTCGTAAAAATCTCACGTCTTGTAGCAAGTCCGCCAACAAGCCGACAACAAGCCGCCAACAAGCTGTGTTCAGACTGCTTGTTGACAACCGTTATCGCAAGCTTGATGGCATTATCAGACTTGTTGCAATTTGAAAGGTTGCTCCAACAGGTCCGATACAGTCATGATAGTGCGAGAATGTAATTACAACCTTGTGTCGTCAACCTTGTAACATTTTTGTTATATCATGACTATATCATGAACACAACTTGTGTTAGAAAAACTTTGTAACAAACCTAGTAATGCCATGAAGCTTGTTACAAGTTGTTAACTAACAGCTTGTTCCAAACTTGTTACAACAACATAACTTGTCGACAGCTTGTGAACAGATTTATACTGTATATACACAGTCACGCAAAAATCTCACATCTTGTAGCAAGGCTGCCAACAAGCCGTCAACAAGTTATGTTCGCACTGCTTTCCCAAGTTGTCAAAAAGTTTGGAACAAGCTGTTAACAACTTGTAACAACCTTGTTGATATTACCGGACTTAATTGTTGCAAGGTTGTTCCAACAAGTCCCATACAGTCGTGATGTAACAATATTGTTACAACCTTGTGTCGTCAACCTTGTAACATTCTTGTTATATCATGACTGTATCAAACTTGTTAGAACAAACTAGTTAGAACAAACTATCAAACTTGTTAGAACAAACATAATTTCGGACTGAAATTCAACTTTGTCATTTTCAGGTGCATGGGTTCACATCGCGGGCACATACGACGGAACAATCGGTAAGGCGAAAATCTACGTGAATGGCGACCTTAAAAACATGTCGGTGAACGAATACGGTGGCTATTTGTCACGTGACTGGAACATGCGCGTGGGGATTGGCGACCACAAGAATTTCCGACCCGTGCTAGGATTTGTCGATGAGTTCCGCATCTATAATTATGCAATTAGCAAAAAAGAAATCACCGACATCGTCAGCAAATGCAAATTCATAGGTAAGTATTGTCATGTACTGAGACAAACTGCAAGTAGATGATTCCTGCCGATATCGAATAATTTTTCATCTAGACAAGAAGGATGAAATCTATCATTATAGCGTAAAAGAGCATCCTAAAATTAGAAAAATTGCAAAGTTTGGTTGCAAAATGTTGCAAAATACGAAAAATATAGCCATGTGAAATTAGCAAGTTTTGCAAGTATTTTAGTATTACGCGTGGAAAATGCATCATTTTTGAGTCGAACGTGGTGCATTTTCCCGCACGTAATACTAAAATACTCGATATTTGCTTATTTTACAGGGCTATATTCATGTTTTCGTATTTTACAACATTTCGCAAACAAACTTTGCTATTTTACAAATTTTAGGATGCTCTTTTGAGCTATATATAATGATAGATTTTGTCTTTCTTGTCTAACTAAAATTACTGGATAGCTGGAATCATCCGCTGATTAGTCTAGACGTTTGTTTACACACTATCAAGGTTTCTGTGATCACAGTAGGAGAATTCCAAAGGTAACTTCTAAGGCCCCGTTTACAGGGCCGTAGGAAGTTCTTTTCGATTGGGGGGGCTGAAAGCGAGGGCCGAAGGCCCGAGGAAATTTTTAAATTTAGAGTCTCTAAAATGCCATTTCCTGGACTTTGGGGAAGATTTAACAGAATTCTGATAGTCAGAAAACAGCGTTTTAGTATGTCGAAATTTACAGGAAAGTATGGGCCAGACTGTAGTATTATAAATGCGCGGCGGGAATTTTCGTCGTAAATGGCAGTTGCGCGGAAATGAAGGCAGAACATTTGAGAAAATTTCGAAAATCTGGAGTCTCTAGATGGTCTGAAATGGCATTTTCAGAGTTTTCTTTCGCAAGACCCAACACGCAAAAGACAAAATAAATCATTAGTTCATCAAAAATGTGCAGATTTTGTGGGATTTTCTTGAAAATGCGCGACAGAAATTCAGCTAAAATTTCTACGCGAGGAACGATCTGGAGTATGAGTAATATCTTCATTCTTTGCAGTTTGTCACAGATTAAATGATAAAGTTTGCATGCAATGATTTTGAAAAAAGAATGATTATTAGCAAATTATTGGGGGGGGGGCTGCAGCCCCCCAGCCCCCCCGGTTGCTACGGCCCTGGTTTACATGAGACCGGGACGAAGTCAAACCGGAATGAAAATTGAAATTGTCAACATGTTTACATGAGACCGGTACGAGCTAGGATAACAAAATCTTCAATTTATTCCCCTTGCCAGGCCATTTTTGTTTTTCAGGTGGCTTTTGCTAGCATGTGTTGTTCCAATGTCAAGATTACAGCCGAGAGCGGTCTGAAATGTATTTGTGTTTACATTCATCCCGGTCTGAATTCATGCCGGTCTGAAGTCAGTCGGTTCGGTCCAGAAGGCGGAATGACTTGAGACCGGTCTGAGTTATTTTCGTCCCGGTCTCATGTAAACATCTATTATAGATAATACTATGACCGAAACGAGATGGTCCCGGTTTGACTTCGTTCCGGTCTCATGTAAACGGGGCCTAAGTTTTGAAGGATCTGTAAGAAATGTTTTCAATATTATGAAAACTGAAGGGCAAAAATTGACAAAAAATTAAGGGTTAGCCTTACTTTTTTTGCCATTTTTTGCCCCTTTTTCAACAGTGAAAAAAGTGGCTAAAATGGCCAAAATGTTAAGGGATAACTATAGCCTTTACTTTTTTGTTAGACAATCAGTTTAACGAGTCAATTCTTTCAAATATTTCTTACAAATCCTTCAAAGCTTAGAATTTACCTATGCAAAATTCCAACTGTGATCACAGAAACTTTGATAGTGTAAACGAGCCCTTATAGACACTGATCTCAAAAGATAGAGCTTAACCTTTTGAATTCAGGAAATTAATTTTGAAGCCAAAAAATTTATAGTGCGCGAAGAGAGATAGTTGCCAACAACTTGTCAACGTGTACCAAGGCATTTTTTAATACCATGGACTTGTGGAGCATTTGCCCCACTGGGCCCCTTCCTCTGCCCCACCACAGAAGAAAAATATAGCCTATTGCCCCAAAGTCAGGACCCCAGGACCTGTATTGAGTAAGTGAGTTTAACATTGAAAAGAAGTTTAAAAACAAAATTTGTTGGCTAGCATACTTGAGCTTGTGTTTGAATGTTTAGCATGCAATTTATTACAAATTTCACCATTAAAACTTCATGTTTTGAGAAGCTGAGATTTTTTTTAAAAATGTGTACTTAGAATGCAGGAAATTCTATTCAGATACTCAAATTTTAAAAATTTCCTGGGGGAGAATGCCCCCAGATCCCCTAATTAACTAGTGCCTGCGGTACTCGGCTTACTGCATGCTTACACCTCCGTAGCCTGCGTTGCATAAAAGAGCCGGCAACGCAGGCTAACACCTCCGGAGATCACACACTATCCTGGGGAGAAGGCAAAGAAAGTGGGCCTTTTGGCAGTTTTGCTTCACCACTGACGAGTACACTGATGTGTTCCCACTGTTTGTCATCTCAGCTTGTTGACAAGTTGTGAACGGCTTGTTGACAACTTGCTATAAGGTTGTTGGGCTCAATAGACTTGTTACAAGTCGTTCCAACAACTTGTTATCGTCCTGCAGTTCAACAAGTTGTAAGTGACAGCCTTGTATAGCAACTTGAAATAACAGCATTGTTACAACTTGTCAACAAGCTCGCTAGAAGCATGAGATCAGTTTTGCCTGCATGTGTGGCATTGTGTGCATGTAAATAGTTTTTTTTTCTCAAACTTTGGCATTTGTCGCGATTCCGATTTGGTAATATCTAACACTAACAAAGTATATATATATATATAACTTCGTTTCAGCCACAGTAAGCCCAGCTAACCCTGCGGCGGTCGCTGCTCCGCCCACCGCACCCGCAGTTCCTCCAGTAGTTGGTAAACCTCCTATTGCCGTGACTCACGATGCTGTGCTCATTAATGGTAAGTTGGCCGTGTTTGTATGGGAGCATTCACCCCCCACACCCCCTACCATAGTGTAAGTTTTACCTTTTGAAAAAGGCAGTTGGTCCCCTTCCTTGATCCCCTCCCCTATTTTAGTCCATTCTTCTGTATAAGATTCAAAACGATTATACTGCTCCTAACTTGAAAGAATCACTGACTGGGCGTAGGTTAACGCAAGCGAATTATAATGTAAGAAATACCTACGCTGATTTAGCTCTCCCAAAACCGAGAAGGGAATTCCCCTCAAAAAGTTTTAAATACAGCGGGGCAAAGCTTTGGAATAGCCTTTTTCGGGAAGCAAAGGAAGCACAATCAATCCATATTTTAAATATTAATCTTTGACTCTGTTACCATTGTTAATGTATGGGTCACACCTCCTGTATCCAGCATGCACTTTTGTAAATAGTTTTTCTTTGTTTCCACTTATTCTCTTGTAAATATTAATACTTTGTATATAAATTGACGACGCCCCTCATGAAAACCAACTTATGTTGATGAGGCTAGAGTCTTGAAATATTTTTTTACGATTTTACGATGCCCTAGAATCCTAAGGGTTTTTTCTCTCGCCATAGACGACAAAGAGCGAGATAACAGCGCTGGTAAGTCTTCCAATCAAGAAATGGAGGAGACGATTTTGAAACGATCAAAAATCTTCCGCAAACACCGACACCACAAAAAGAACTGGGACTAGTTGGTCACGTTACCAGGCAACGATGGCGACAACCGCGCACTTGCGTAAAAGACTGGAAGCGAATTTCAGAATTTGCAAACTTTTTACTAAACGAGTAAAATTAACCAACTAAAAAAGCTAACTACGTAAGACAGTATAATTTTAATGCTTTTTATTTAAACACGTCCCTATTGTTGCATGTGCAATGTTGTAATATAACAAATACTTGAACGTTTCTCTTCAGAAATTGCAGTAAATGTATACAATTAGTCAATATTTCCATGCGTAGAGTTAAGCTGTATATTTCTGTATTTAATAAAATTCGTATGTTTTCATTATAACGGGCGGCATATACTTTGAAATGGAGTTGGCTGGACAACATGACGTCGGTATAAAAGCGAATGTTAATTAATTAAACCCGCCAGGCAGGGCATTTTTTGAACTATATAACTACTGGGGCATTTACCCCAGTAGGCCCTTTGCTTGCCCCTGTGGTGAAACAATATTTTCACTGATGAACTGGGCCCTCTTGATCAAAAGTAAAAACTCATCCTTGTTGAAAAAACTGCATCTGCTTGCTTTCTCATATCCTCTCACACCTCTCGACATCCCATCTTATAAAAGTCTGCATTGAACATGGCCTTTATGTACGCGTATCTGTGTGGGGAAAAGGCGACTGTTTTCTAAAAGCTCACTCACATATTCAGTTTCAATGCCGTTTTTGAATTGCTGGGGGGTGAGTAGTCACATAGTAAGATACGACACTAACCCTCCAGCTATTCAAAAGCAGCAATGACGCTGAAGCTCAGATTGAACCTCCACTCATTGAGTGTGAATGTGAGTAAGCTTTTAGAATACGGGCGTTAGCCCCAGTAGTTGTAATTTCTTTAAAAAATGCCCTGCCGCCAGGAAGGTATGCTTTTACAGTGACGTAGCCAGGATTTCTAGTCAAGGAGGCAGGAGAAATCCCAGGAGGGAGCCAAGCAAGATTTCCTTGCGCTACTTCGAATAAAGTTTGTTTATTTTGTGGAAATGTATACGGGGGGTTTTCGGTGAAATGTTCTCTCGGGAAAATTTTTAAATTCTTGAGTAGGTAAAGCGCCATTTTCAACATTTCGTGGGCTCAGTCTAATAAGTAACTAACGTCGCTACAATGGAACGCGTCCAACGTCGTGCCACCAAATTCATCCTTTCCCTCCCTTATAGATCAGACATTTTGTACAAAGACCGTCTCCAGTATATCGGTATTCTTCCCATCTGCTATTGGCTCGAGTTTCTAGATTTAGTTTATCTCTACAACTGTGTTGTTAATGACTCTGATACAAACATCTCAATACGGGTTTCGAATCGTAGAACCAGAAACTCTAATTCCGACAATGGTATATTCTACTAAATGTACCTAAATCCAAGACTGTTAGCTTTCAAAACAGTTTTTACGTAAGAGCACCCAGCGTTTGGAACATTCTACCCGATATCCTCAGAGACACTACAAGATCTACAGCTTCCTTTAAAAGTTTACTATTTAGATACTACTTTAACCTTCTCGAACACGTCTACAACCCAGACAATCCTAGAACCTTTAAATCGGTGTGCGTCAAATGCCATTCTACTCGTTCTAGTCAAAATTTATCTTTCAGATCATGTTGTTGACAGTTTGGCGAAAGCCAATTAATGTTTTTGTGCATGTTTAAGTAATTTGTCTTTTTTGTCGGGACCCCGTTATTGGAGTTTATCACTGTGGTCAGTCCCAGCCAATGCACTCGTAGATATTTGAATAAGTTTAATATTTGTTTGGTGCGGCGAATCTTGTAAAATAAATAAAAAAATAAAATAAGTGTTTCGGTGATTTACTGATTTTAAATAACTATTTAAATAACAGCATTGTTACAACTTGTCGACAAGCTTGCCATACAAGCCTGTTTCGAACACATCTTGATGACAAGTTGTGAGATTTTTACCCGTGTATAAAAACAAACTTGATGTCGACTACTGAGCAATTACTGAAAGTTTGATCACTCCAGGTTTTTAGAGTGAGATCACTTCTTGTTGTACATACCACTCCAGTTAAAGAGATCGTCTTGCAGGCTGTGCAGGCAACATGACGTCACTCCTCGGCTTCCCGGCAAACATGGCGGAAATTTCATGCGAAATGAAAGTGGGAATTTGCTGGACAATTTCACGAAATTATGAGAATTTTTAAAGCCCATTAACCTTCCACGCTTATCGTCAGTTACATTATGGTTCCTGGAACTACGCTACAAGCGGTACCGGTTAATGGCGAGACGGCAGATGGCCAAAACGATGTCGTTTGCATCGTTCAAGATGAGACCTCTTTCGACACTGGACCTTCGAAATTTCACGTAAATCTGCCTCGGTCCACATCGATACTCGATCTATACAAGAGAACGGCGCAGGAGTTTAGCTACGAAGAAGACAGCTTTCTGCTTGTGTGGAAAAATAACAAAAGTGGGCAAAACAACGAAGTCGCAGAAACGGTTTTGAGAGATGGCATCGAGAATATGACATTGGACGATGTTTGTCAACCACCGGATAAGAAAAAGCAACGCTTCTTTCTGAGGCAAAAGGATGACATTAATCCGATACGTATTAAGAAAAGCACCCAGGTTTGTTGGTATTTTTATTTTGTCTATAAAATGATGTGAAGAACTGGTATATATGTTAGACTAGAATAGTCGATAGTCATATTCTGCTACTCAAATAAGCAATTCAGCGTTTTTTACGTAGTGACTTTCTTCCATGGTTTTGTCACAGAATAGGAAGGTATAGCAGAAGTGTAACTCAAGCAAGTATTTGTCCGCGTTTTTACAAGCAATTCGTCATCAATCATGCCATCCTGGCTAGTGCAACCGGCACTTTGTACCTACCAAAACCTGATAAAAACTTCCGGTTGTACTAGCCAGGATGGCGTGAGCGAGTTAAAAGTTTTGTGGAGGTAAAACAATAAAGGAACCGACTCAAGTTACAGTTCTGCTGTACCTTCCTATTCTGTGGTTTTGTCATGGTCGGTGGGTGGCACCGGGTGGCAGCACTTGGCACTGCACCCGCCGCGATTCACCAAAACAAATGCTTGCCTTATAATAATAAACATTTATTGGATGAGGTTTTCGTGATATCTAGAATTGTCAAGGTTGAGTTAACACACTTACTTGAGGAAACCTTAGTTGATAATTTAGGGGCCACGTCCATATTCATGTTGCCGCAAATAACGTCAAATTGACATTATTTCACCCACCCACCCACTGCAGATAACGTCGATCGATATTCAGTCGTATATTTGCTAAACTCACAATTATTGTACTTTAGTACCATCATTGGCTGGGATTGTATTTTGAAACAATATATTCGGATACTGGGGTGGTTATTTTGGACATTAATTGTCAAGTTGTCACAAGATAACATCGACAAGTTCACATAAAAACACATTCATAACATCGATTCAACGTTATTTGTGGCAACATGAATATGGACATGAATATGTGCCACGTGGCACTTAGGATATCACGGATATCCTTGATAAACTGGATTCAATGACTGTTTTATTATACCATACATTAGGTTCTTGGGAGCTTCTACACTGGTTTTGTAGATGGAAATTTTGGGTGTGAATTTTACACATTTATCAGCCCTAACCAGGAGCTGTTGTGACTATTGCTCTAATCATATATCTGCAACTATTGCTCTAATCATATATCTAATTGCTCTAACTAGCGCTCTAGTAGACCGAGCTGCAGAGAGACAATTGTCGAACTCTAACCACAAGTTCATGTCAGTGGCACCGTGGCCAGAGGGGGGCATGCCCCTCCCCCGTTGTTGAGACCTGTCAGAAAATTGGAGATTTGTTATGTTGTCGGAATGGATCATTCCAGAAAACATCCATACCACCCCCACGGAGGAAATGGGAAGTTAACCCCCCTACCCCTTTGGATGTCCTAATTCATTTACTATTATCAGAAACAGTTTTGTCTCCCCTCCCCCTCCGGACGGCAGAAATTTCCTCTGTGGGGTGAGTGTGGATCTCGTCTGGAACGACCCAATCTTTGTGGACAAGCACAGTACCTGCAATTACGAGTGGGAATTTTACTTCTCTTCATTGTCTGACAAATCAATGCGAAACATGTTTGAATAAAAAAATATCTAGATGAAATATCGGAAATCCGACTCAGTTTACGTTTTCCCAATATAAGTTTATAGAATAGTCAATATTTAATTCAATGTGATTTTATATATTATTTATGTCGGAAAAAATTGTGTTTGTCTGCCCTTGCCCCCTCCCCCTAAAACATGGACCCACGATGCCCCTGGTTCATTTTTCTTTATTCGTTACTTTTTTTCTGATAATTCTGAAAGTAAATATGTTTTTGTCTTTTTTTTTCCATGTTTAGGAACAGAGTCCGAGTGAGAATGATGCCTTAGCAGATGGCAGTGTTGCTAACATGTTCGATTCATCGTCATCGTCAGCTGGTTCCACGTCAACCACACCTTACTACGGACCGTACTCCAACACTAGCAGTAGTTACACTGATCTTTCCAAGTCTGATACAGGTATATGTAGAATGTTACACACTTACATGTATATTCTATTGAGTGCCAGCACTCTCCCCTTGATGAGTAAAATTGCCTGGCATTAGACAGAGTAAAATAACAAAGTAGGGTGCATTAGGCCGCAATTACACTTAAAGTTTAACATTGACACATGGGCAGATAGTCTCATTAACCTATTGAGTGGCAGCACGTTCCCAGCAACAAATAGAATTGCCTGGCATTGGACTGAGTATAATAAGAGGGTGTTGATGGGTTATATTGTGAATTGTGATTGTTCAATTTTCTGAATTTCGGTTACCGTCAATCGTGAAAACACTAAAATTTTACCGTGAAACGTAAGGGAAAAAATACTGTTTATCGTTTCAGAACACTTTTCAGCAGATTCAAAGATTTACCGTTAAAATACCAACATTTTTACCATTTACTGATTTCAAACCCCCCATCTAGACGCTCTAATAACAACAGCAGCCTTGCAATTTTTGGCGGCAAAAGGCAATTGTCCTAATCTTAATACCCTTTACCTAATCCAAACACAACCTTGTACCCAGGGCCTGCTCTGGGTACGAGGTTGATCCAAACACTAATCCTAACCCTAAAAATAGTAACTCCCCCTAAAACGTGACTTATATGTAATATTGAACATATTGTGTGTTTTATTTTATATTTTATGCAATTTTTTGTTAATTAAACTTATTAAATAATTCGGTAATGTTTCACGGTGAAGAAATACAGTGTAGGGATGAGCCGATTAATCGGTAAATAATCGGCAAAGCCGATTAATTAATCGGCTGTTTTTTAAATAATCGGTAATCGGCCGATTATTGCCTGATAATCGGCAAATAATCGGCCATAAGACTTTTTCTGCAGCTGCCAATCACATGCTAAAATACTGAATACAAGCGAATAGATTTTCACATTTTGTTGCGAAACCTGTGTCTTTTGTCTCAAGCGAAGTGAAGCTGGGAACATTTCCACTAAAAATACGCAGCAGACTAGCTCCGCATAGCTGACAGTGTCTCGTTTTTACACCATAATCTGCCAAAACTAAACTTTGACTATTGCCACGAGAGACTGAAGATGTTTTTAATTGTACAAAGTGTGTATTGTAAACAATAAAACCACATTTACAACTTCATTGTTGGTCATCTTGTGATTTTTCGCTTGCTTTTTAAAATAATCGGTGGGTACCGATTAATCGGCCGATTAGTTACAATAATCGGCTTATAAATAATCGGCCTCAGTAATCGGCAATTTTCCTTATCGGCTCATCCCTAATACAGTGCCAAAGTTATTGGTGTTTTATGTATTATTTAAAACACGAGTAGGAGTGTTTTATCAGATATAAAACGTGAGGCGCAGCCGAGCGTTTTATGTCTGATAAAACACGACAACAAGTCTTTTGAATAGCTTACAATACGACTACAAAAGAATACTACTTAGGATGAACCATTATATAATCATACTAATTAGGATGAACAATTATATAATGCCTCATGCTTTATCAGATATAAAGTCACTCCACGTGACATATTATGGCCGACATGATTTGCTACAAGGAAAATGTATGTATTTTTCAATTATAAATTGTATTTTTCAACACTGAACCTTAAGAACTGTATCTTATTTCGTTTCTAGGTCATGTTGGTCTAGTGAACCAAGCAATGACATGTTATCTGAACAGTCTCTTACAGACGTTATTCATGACACCAGAGTTTAGAAATGCAATTTACAAGTAAGTGAAACTCTAATAATGGAAACTTTATCAAACGTTTTTCTTTACATACATATACAATCATAAATCTCTCTTATAAAGGTAACTTACAATTGGCTTATAATAATAATAAAAACAATAATAAACTTTATTTAAAGAAGGTACAATACTCGATAGAAACCAGTTTAGCAGAGCTAATCTTACAATGGGCCTTCTGTCTTATTACAATTTATAACAAGTTAAAATTGTACATTTAACTAGTAGTCTAGTACATAAATATATAATACAAAATTCAAAGAACTACATTATAATCTCACAAGTGCTTATATATTTAAAAAGTGCTTATTTAAGCTCTTATTTTTATTGAGTGATGTAGATTGTCTTATCTCGAGTGGTAAACTATCATATAAAGTTGCACCACTGTATGGTAAAACTTGTTGTCTAATTGTTAGTTTAGTTTGCGGTATCCACAGATCATTGCCCACAAAGCTTCTACTAACTCGTTTAGTCACTGACCAATGTTATATAAACATATCTGGGTACCGCATTGTTCAAAGATTTTTATTTAATACCTTATTGAATTCTGATTGTTTAATAATTGGCTATTTATGGTCACGTGATATTGAAAAGAAAATTCCATTTCGCAAAAGAGTGCAATGGAATACGTTCCATTGCACTCTTGTGAGGGCAATTGATAAAACTAGAATAGTGAAGCGAATAGTGCGAATAGTGCGAATAGTCGACGAATAGTACGAATAGTCCGCGAATAGTCGACGAATAGTGCGAATAGTCCGCGAATAGTCGACGAATAGTGCGAATAGTCCGCGAATAGTCGACGAATAGTACGAATAGTCCGCGAATAGTCGACGAATAGTACGAATAATCCACGAATAGTCGACGAATAGTACGAATAATCCACGAATAGGCGACGAATAGTACGAATAGTGCAATAGAGACTTTGCAAGGCTTTGCAGCAGTGCTATAGAACTAAATTTACCGGGGGGGGCTCTGTTGACAAACATGAAATCGTGAAAACATTCGTCGACGTACGTCAATGACGTCATACGTCTAGTGATTGTCATCAGTGGCGCCGTGGCGGTGGCAGGGGGGGGCATGGCCCTCCCCTATTGTTGACACCCGTCGTAAAATTGCCAATGCTGCCGGAAATTGTCGGAAAATTGTCAAGGCTGTCGGAAATTGTCGAAGTTGTCGACGGGGGGGGGGAGGGGGTGGGGGTGGGGGTGAAGATTTAAAATGTTGTCGTCCGGAAAACTTTTTGGTTTGTCGGAAAATTTTTTCGGTTTGTCGGAAAAGTACTGCCCTTGCCCCCCCCCCAAAAAAAAAAACAAACATGGGTCCCACGGCGCCACTGATTGTCATTCTACTTCCTGTTAAATATTTGTTAAAACTCAGTGGTCCCGTAATTTTTACCGATTACGTATGACGTCATTGACATCAACGAATGTTTTCACGATTTCATGTTTGTCAATAGAGCCCCCGCCCCGCTTCGGTAAATCTAGTTCTACAGCACGGTGGAAAGCCTTGCAAATTCTCTATTGCACTATTCGTCGACTATTCGACTATTCGCACTATTCGCGGACTATTCGCGGACTATTCGCACTATTCGTCGACTATTCGCACTATTCGCACTATTCGCTTCACTATTCTAGTTTTATCAATTGCCGTTTGTCTTATTCTGAATGGTAACGTCGCTTCCGCAGTAAGTGTTTTTAAAATTATAGTGAACTTAATTGGCAACGAGGTTTACCTGTAGCAATTAAAAGTACGTCATTGTGTCGGCGAAGTCGCTTGCAGTTTCTTGCAGTTTGCATAGGACTATAGGAATTTCTGCATAGCCATAGGAATCATAAAACGTTTAAGACTGCACGATGAATAATTGTATACCGACAGTTAGGTATTGCCTATAGGCACTAGTATTGTAGACTGTAGTAGACATATTAGGGAGCTTTAGATTTGACTACGAGTACGACTACGAGTACGAGATTTGATCGCGTGCGAGGAAATTACCGTAGCCGTTTTCGTTTCCATTCAAATGTTGCTTTTATAACAGTAAATCAACAACTAGAGAAAAAGTTTCATAAACTAAATCTCCTGCCGACTAAAATCCCCTACAAAACGTGTAAATAAATCATAACATTAAAAATAGGCCAGATATTTAGTACTAATATATTATTTGCGCCGGATAAACGCTATATAAATGCTACAAATTATTTTTGGAAACAAAAAAAAGCCAACATTCTTTGTTTTTTTTTTTAAAGTCGTCGTGAGGACTACGAGGTTTCTCCACAATTTCGTACTCAGATGGGCGACGGCTACGACTTTATCGCGTCAGTACGGGGTGGCGTAAGCATACAGCATGCGTTTAGCTTGACGAATCTCGTACTCGTAGTCGTACT